ATGCCTTTTCAGCCTGTCTCGGGCAACCAAGAGCATCCTGCACGATCACCCCGGGGTCGTGCATTGTAACTGCTTATCCTTTAGTCGGTATTTATGAGTAAGCTGATGACGAATACTCACGACTTTGCACTTCACCACGTTGAACTGGAGCTGGTTTTCGGATGACCACGTATAAGCCCTGTTTAGATCGCACTGTAATGCAATGTGATCATCTGCTGTCCTGATGTCATGCCAAATTATGACACCATCTACCAATATTAACTAATCCGACTGCAGTACACTGCCAAGATCGTCAATGAATGTTAGGAATAAACGTGGCCCTAGTACCGATCCTTGGGGCACGCCAAGCTGGACATCAATTGGGTCGGAAATGGAAGCTGCGGACTCTGACATTCAGCTGTTGTTGCGATAGGAAGTTGCCGATCCAACCGAATATATGGTCACCGATTCCATAGCTTCGTAGCTTGTGCAGGAGAATGCGGTGGCCCAAACGATCGAACGCTTTCCAGAAGTCCAGGTAGGCAACGTTGACTCCCACTCTGGCATCGCCTGACTCTGTCCAGCTTGCTCTGGCTAGCAGCAAGTTTTTAATGCAAGATCGAGTTCAGCGGAAATCGCATTGCTTTGACACTATTATGTTGTTGCTCTCAAGGTACCCCATGAGCGCCCCTGCAATGATACGTTGGATTACTTTGCATAAAACTGGGAGGAGAGTGATTGGGCGGTAGTTCGAGGGCTCCTAAAGGTTACCACTTTGTAAATAGGAGGAGCTAGTTCATATTTCCTCATTGTGGGAATCAGCATTTCGTCGAGACAACATTGAAAGAACCGAGCTGATGGTTCGGCAAGATTCATGGCCGCTATCTTAAATGCCTTCTGTTTTATGTCGACCACGCCAAGTGAGCTGTGCACGCGCGATGACATTATCGTTTTCATCACATTGGCTGCTATGAACGATACGTGGTTTAACCCTGGTGGCAATGGAGGCTGGGTCAAAAAGGGATGCAATCATAAATTATTTCGGAATGTATGAATGAACTGCCGGCGAAGTACGTTGGCTGCATTTTGTGCGGTTTGCGCAAGCTTATCTGTTGCACGTAAAACCGGAATCCCGCGCTCCACTCTGCGGAGCTTGTGATGTGTCTATACAGCAATTTGGAATTTGTTCTGAATTTCGCCGCTAAGTTCTGTTGGTGCTGTACTTTGTCTTTGCTAATCAAGTTGACGCAGTGGTTCATTGAATTGTGCAAGCACCCCAGGTCAGGTTACTTGGACAGACTTAGTAAGCGCACCAGGCTGCATCTCTTAAAGTCATGCATCTTCTACTACAGCACTTCGAAAACAAATTCAATTGCTTCGGGCGAAGGACCTTGCTGTCTGGCGCATTTGCCACCAGCTCAGTGACCTGGGTGATAAACAACATCCAGGTGACATCGGGCGGCTTTTCGGCGAGGAAGGACCAGTCGATTTCTTGAACGAGGTTGGACAGGACATCGTAATGTGTAACGACATATGTTTCCTCGTTGTAACAGATGCGCTTTGGCACTGTTCGCGGAGCTCAATGGCATAGTGATCGTGACGACAGCCACCAAGCACTATGCGTCTAGTTCCTTTCCCAGCTTTGCAATCTCTACCTGATGTGTCCAAACCAAGATGAAACCGTCGGTTGGGGAGTGCAGGGATTGGAGAGAGCCACACCAAAACCCTCCACTTCGTTGACGGTCCCAATGACCGTATTGGCACCGGCTAACTTCAAAATCAACCGAGGCCACGCTTGAGATTGCGTGTCCCAGTCCAAGACACACGGCGGGTGCTCAAATACCCCAAAATCTAAGAAAAGCTTAAAATCTCTTGTGATTTGGTCAAGGGGAATGGATTCTCTTACATACAGTTAGGTTTGGCCTGTTGGCTCACGATTGGTGGATTGAGGTACGAATGACAGTCATCACTTTCTTAACTACGTATGATGACTTGGCGAAAAACGTACAATAATTGCACCGGTGTTGTAATATTCTCTGTCCCTGCGTCTCCGCCAAGCCTACCCCGAATGACGCCCTCAGTCTATGTATGATAATAAACATGGTATTACCTGAACTATCTTCTATAAACTTGCACACGTTCCTTAAACTATCTTAGTCAACTTCGAGAAAATATTCGCCTTTGTGGCATTTTTAGGAAAATCTTTTCGGATGTTTTTAACTTATCACGGATTTGTGCGTAATCGAATTTTTATACTCCCATTTATTGAAGAGTTATGCCACCGTATCTGCAAGCATTATTCGACTTATTTTATTTTATCCCGTCGTTTCAAGTGATTAGCTATTGCTTGATATCCCCGGTGTGGCTGCGCATGATGTGCATGTTGGCAATGTGCCTACCTGTCTATTACCCACTACCTCATCCATACTGGCTCCAGGAGACAGTTTGTCGTTGCTGGAGGGGAATGCGTGCCCGGTCCTTGTGGCCATATTAGGCTCGAAGAGCGGTTCTATGCACTCAGTGTGGAGCGGACTACGGTCCAGCCACCGCCTTGTGTGCACTTGATTCCCCAAATACAGGTGTTGGTGTTTGCCTGTGAAGGAGTGTGGGCCTTCTCCGTTGATGAAACGTGGCTCGCATCCACATAGCTCACGCTATTATTCCTTCGGGTCTTTCACTGGATATGGGTTGTGTGATTGGAGCTGTGCGTGGTGCAGCGCATTCATCCATGGTCCCTCTGTAGGCGCAAGCGTCCTGTGGCTGGCCACAGTGACATGCATCTCCGAAATCGGATGCCGCCAACCATTATTTTCCTTGTATTGATTTATTACTAGTTTTGACTGTTTCCTCTTTACCAATCTTTGTGTGTTGCATTGCAATACAATAGCTAATGGGCATCGCCAAACCAATGGGGTTTATGGCAACCTATCATCAAATTTCAAAGAACCGTGTTGTAGCTTTAACCGTTTAGCCGTTTATCAAGGTGTACATAGGCGGAAGAAATCCGCATGGCGAATATCATATTTATGGCATTGTTGCTTTTAATTAGTTCTTTGACGTGCTGGGCCCAGTAGTTTAGGGGATAACGGTGGATTATACCTAAGCCATAAAATCTATCTATCTATCTATCTATCTATCTATCTATCTATCTATCTATCTATCTATCTATCTATCTATCTATCTATCTATCTACCTACCTATCTATTTAATAATTGGTATAATGGGATCTTCGCACATAAGTATAGACGTGTCGTTGGTGCTAAGAGTACTAGTTTTTGCATTAGTTAACTGTTTGGTGTTATATTGCTTGACTCGGAACAGCGTGTATGTACAATTCACCAACCATAATGAATATTCCAAGTCATGCAAATCGATCAAATGGGATTTCAACCTCAAGGCTTAGCATAGGTACTGCGCATCAACAGACCCGTTCATGTTAACCTTCTTTGTGAGACAATTGATGATGTAAGGCATTAGGCTGAGAGTCGCTTACTTCCAAAGCGCACCACATTGCATTGGCGAACGTAGTATTAGGAGTTTTCAGGAGTACAGACATTCAATACAATCGACATGGGCAACCCATACGATTTATTTATAGCTGGTGAACATGAGAGCGTGTTTTAGAACTGGAAGGTTGGAGTGGTCCAAGGAAGACTCAACCACACAGTATTTAAGGGTGCTGTGCTTTGAGGTAACTGCCACGTTAAGATTTACATTTTATTAGGTTGATTGAACTACATACCCTAGTGAATGGATTCTTACTTCTTTCGTCCCAACACCTGAAGTTGACTGCGCTGTTAGATGAGGACGTGAGGACATGATAGTCTAAAATGAGTTGTAGTTCTTAGTAAAAACAAAAGTGGAGTGCGAATTTCTACATGTAGTGAGATGCGCTGGTCAATTTTGTTCACATACCATAAGGCAGCTTTTGCATTTGGTCTGAAGATCTAGTTACTTGGTTCCTATCTTCATTCCTGGAACCAAAGCTGAAGCACGGATTACCCGCCTATTGTGCGACCACTTATGACGAACTGGGTTCAGCATGTGTCTACCAGACTCATCCCCAATTTACGGGTTATGTCGTCCGAAGACCGATGCAGAAGACTAGGGTTGTATAACCTGTCGTATTTTCAATTTCGTCTGGAGCCACAATAACGCATCTAACATTGCGTCTGTGTCACTTCCCTATGTTGAGGTCACTGCCTTACGTGCTCTTGCCAAGCAGCACTCGCATACACACCACAAGATCGCAGTGCCGGATAAGAAACGAGTATTTCACCCTCTACGCTTCAAGCTGCGAGTGGTGAAATATGGGAACAGTTTCCTTAACAAATAGTCGAGAGGAATTCGGTGTCGGATTTCAAGGCATTTCTCGATGCTCGGTTTGCGGATTACCGATGTAGAAAGCGCAATACACCCGAATAAGATATGGTGTAGGTATAAGGTGCTGCAAACGATCAAAATCAGTGAGTTGATTTCGCGCACATGCTCGATCTAACTAGGATGGAGCAACTCAAATGTATATCTTCTAGCTCTTTGCTTTCAGTACTCATATGCACACGCCTGCATTTTTCTTCTGAACGGCTAGTTGTTATTCGCTAAAATGAAACAAATTCAGTGAAATTATCAAAAGGCTGTGTGACATCAGGAGATATTATTGTAGTCACCTATTTGGATTCATGTTCCAAGGACATTTTTCTTTTCTCTGGGATCTCTGTAAATTTAATGGCTCAACTGCTATTGAGAGTGCGTTGCTTTCACCGTTTAATACAACGCGCTCTACGCAGTTGCCTGAAACATTCTACATATATGCCATGTGTTAACCGGAGCAGCCATTAACAACATGTATTGGCCCCCTTGTTACGGAATAACGAAATAACGCGATAATTGAAGATGTCGAAGAACCGTTTTCTTGTTTCATTTATCTCACAGTCTGTACGTTGTAGTTAAATTTCCACTCTGTCATTTAAAAAAGTACTCGTTCTCATTCGGACGCATATTTTCTGCCATTCATCTTGCAGTGTCGAGGTTCTTGTGAAGATCGATTGTGAAACGGATTACTACGGGCAGCAATGCGAAGTGTACTGCCTTCCCATGCCCGAGCTTTGGGATTGCAACCCGGTGAATGGAGCCCGGATTTGCAGCAAGCCATGTGAACACGGGTCTTGCGTATTAACAAAGTAAGGATTGAACATAGTGCTTAAATTCTATTTGGTCGCATATATCAAGCATGTGACATTGTGTGCATGACGTTGGTTTAGGTCTAGAAGAGAAGCTAATCAAGTTACACTTAGAGGTAGTGCTTGAGTTCTAATTGTTACTAACCATAGGGCCGCATGATTATTCAATTTTATAGCCATGTTCGTCATATATTAATGGGTCACCGCGTCAAAATCGTTACCACAACTAACTCAGAGACTCAAGCTATAACTTCGGACACAAGGAAAATCGGTGCAAATAATCTGTAGAATTTTAATAATTTATAAGAAAATGTCACCGCCTGACGACAGACCTGTTGTAGAAGATGGCCTGAGGGATAAACGTGAAAATGAAAATGGATGATTTAGTTTATGTATAAACTAACACCTTTGGTTAATCAGTATGTAGGGTTAAAAACTGGTCTTCACAGCGGCGTTTCGATTTTTCTACAGCGGGCTGGGATTGGTACTATCCATTTTCACCAGTAACTGTCACGGTAATTTCGGGCAGCTACTGAATGTCTGTACCGAAACTGTGCATCGTCGCAAACCTGACTGTAGTTACACCTAACTAGTTTAAGCTCGAAAGAATAAGATCTGGACGTATGGGGACGGCAATCGGGACTGATATAGATCCAGCCGATTCTGTTTCGTCATCCGCATCTTTAAAGGCCAATTAGGGGCTCGTGATCACAGGACACGGTGTCTAGAATCGTACCAGGCGCCATGACGTCACCAAGGTTTGAGTTTGGCTCTGTCACGAAGATCATGCGCATTTCCCTTACGTGCAGCTATCAGCAACCTCCTGGAACCAGCCATCGAGGAGGCAGCATTGAATAAGGAAAAACTACGTAGCAGATAAGCATCAGGCATTACCATATTTGGCATACGAAACGAAGACGAAAGTTTACCACGAAACAGTACACGTTCACTGTACAAACATGGCCTGCCAGTCGCGGTATATGCAGTCGTATGACTTTAAGAGCAGTGCTATATTTCATTGCATTATCAGAAGAGTTCCATCGTGACAAGTTCCCGTCAGACACATGTGCATCCGCAAAAGTACTGCACAGCAGATCCATTCCCTTAGGATTCGTTAACATCACACATTCCCTCTAACTACACCTGGACTCGAATCCACGCCTTAGGTCTGCTGAGTTCACCATGTTGCGCTTTCGTTGCGCGGAAAACAGCAGTGGATCGCCAGTCATTCAGGTGTTGTATGGACGTGAAGAGGACAACTTACCGGTACCTAGAATGAGGTAAGCTTTAAAGGTAGGGTTTTGGTTCTGGGATTTAACTTCTACTCTGTGCTGTACTAACATGCATAGACGTGGAACATGAACAGCGATACATCGCCCCAGCTACACAGTCATGGCGGTATATTAGCGTCACCCACAGTCTAGTAGCATTGGTCAAAGGCTTCCAAACACAGGCAGCGTTAGTTCGAGACCCACATTTTCCCGAATGTGCGCCTGTCAATTAAGTGCTACTTGGATGCTACGAATCCCTTCTAAAGTGATAACATTGCAGTGCTCAGTTTCGAGGGATAACGATAGGAATGTTCTCACATTAAGGTGTAAGGGGTATACTACAACATTGTAGTTGCATGGAAGTGATAAAATACATATGACGTTGGCTTGTATCAATGCGAGAGGAAGATGCTTTTTTGATACCGAACCAAATTCTTTCAAAAGAGAACTTATTTGAAAATGACTTTTCTCCATATCATCTGGAACGGTGGCAAGTGGGTAAAATGGCAGGATCAGAATGCTGTTTTATTTGCTAGTGAAATAACTGAACCATTATTGAACTTTATGTGGTTCGATGGTTGTCCATTCGTGTCCTCTTGGATGCATGTTTAAGCAAGTAAAGCTTGTGCTAGTGTTTGTCTCTTGTAGGTTGCATAACGTGATCACCGTAAAAAGTCCAAAAGTTTCAATGCTCCCATAGACCTCTTCTTCACAATCGCTTTAGTAGCGTTAATGCACGCAAATCATTTTACCAATTGCGTCCGGAACGTTTGTGCGTCCGCTATTTATTCAGCGCCTACCAGCTTCTATTCCAAAACAGGGTGTAGTAGCAAAACGACCGCCTCAGTGTATTTGTTATATTCCTTTATCCATAGGCATGCCTTCTTAATATTGCTGATGTGGGTGTTTTGATTTCTTCTGAGCTGGAAGTTCTGATTGCAAGCGTTTTGTTGCCACGCTATGCAAAATCAACCATTCAGAGACTCGTAAACCACTACAAGACCTGGAAGTAAGGATGCTGCTAGTTCGGCAAGCGAAACGTCTGTCAATAAAACGTTCCGTTCGAACTACGAAACGTTGCGTTTCGTAGTAGGATGCATTTTGCGCTTGCACCTTGCATAAGCGGCATCGGTAGCCTAGTTTTATGAAGTTAGTCTTTGGCCGAAACTAAAGCTCATCCCACTTCTCACAAAATCATCTAGACTGTGTTGACACTGTTCGTTGCACAACACTACTATACATAGAAGAATATAAATAAATTCGTGTATTTATTGGCAGGTGTGTTACACCATCTGTACTCAGAAACAGTGTTATGTTTTCTGTGCCGACCAATGACGGGTAGGAAGGATAGCGATTTTCGGAAATCCGCGAGCAATACTGTCTTTGAAGAGCTGCTTATTTATAGTGTTCAAAAGAACAATCTTGTTCTTAATGGTCAGAGTGCTCTTTAAGTTCGTAATTTTGTTGCGAACGTTTCGTCACCATCCGTGGCGATGGCCTTGGAAGGCTGAGGTGTAGCGGGGCGGTACGGAGAGATGCGAAGCCTTAGTGAGTTTGAGTCGGGTAGTCTTGTTTTTGAACTATCGCACGCACGAACCAGCCGTCAGTATGAGGTTAGATTGCTCGAATGGCACATGACCCACAAAATAGATATCCTTGATTCTTACTTCTGGACGTTAACACGTATATTTATACAGTTGTTCCCGTCGTCCGACATGCTTATACGGTGTCCTGTCCCGTTAGATTTAGTTGATAAAGTTGGCGATGTACTATACGTATTGCTATGTAGATCGCATCTAGTTCATTATGTTAGTTCATTGAATTTGATGCTGAGTATCATATTTTTAAGAAATATTCCGCTTGCTTTGTATTGTTGGCCGTCCATCCTTCTTGTTCTGCATGCACGGAGACCAAAATGCGAATCACTTCTTCGTAAGGCCATTACTGTGCTCAGCGATCAGTGCTGAAAGTTTCCTTTCAGCTTGCTTGATTTATCCGTTGGCTCATACCTTTAAATTCAGCTTAAAGCTAACATTGTTTTGACCACTCTGTTTGGCTCCATTTTTCGATCTTGAGAGAAATACTTTCAAACTATCCACTGCGTTATGAGCTACCAAGATTTTATGTGGTTGCAGTGATCTGTCATCTAAAGGAGATCCTTTCTGAAACGACGACAAGGATCATGGCAAGTCAGGATTGAAGTTCGCCCCATGACCAGTTCGTTAAATTATCGCTAAATCTCTTCCAATGATATTCGTTATTTCTGAACTGACTGTGAAGTGTATTAAAACAAACCAGAGTGGGTTTTACTACAAATTTGAAAGTCCCAGGTCGTGTTACAAACGGGGAGAAAGTTCTAGTGGAGTAGTCGGATGGCAGACGTTTGCACCTTGGTGAAGTTCATGTTCAGCAACAATGCAAACTTAGAATACCTAATTCCCAAATCCGGAATGGAATCAGAGGCTAAGATCCCAATGCTGTAAAGAGAGAATCAGACTGCAAGAATACTTACCCAAGTATTTTTGATTTGCTTGCAGGGAATCACATTAACAGGTGTAAAATAGATATATTTAGTGCAAATATGTTTTAACGTATGCTTCCCGGGCATGCCTGCAAGTGGTTTGTTAGAAATGAGTAAAAGGGTTTGCCTCCAACGTGGCGCACAGGTATGGAGACTAACTATCACTCACTAATGTCGTGTCACGGTCACACTAGGAACAAAATTCCTCTAAAAATATTCCGAGTTTGCGCGCACTAGTACCTCCTGTGGGTTTATTACGCTCAGATAAAACGCACAAGCTGAAGAGAATTTCATCCAACTCGTGCAACGTCATGTGTACAAGGATGAGCCAGTACTTATGGAAAAGGGCCGAGGAGGAGGCATGTCACAAATAGCTCATGAAGAAGAGCCCGTTTTGACTCTTATGCTTTGGTTAGTAATGAGTAGACGGATTTGTATATCATTCGAGTTGTTTCATCGCAGTTAGATTCCAAGCCGCATAGAGAAGCTGCCAATCCGGAAAAACACCAGACGCGCGTTTCACCCTATTGGGGCTCGTCAGTGGTGCGCATCCATCGGTCCCCTACTGGGGATCGAACCCATGACTGCTAGAAGCTAACGCCAGCTAGCCAGCAGCTTATGCCACCGAGCCATGGGGGAGGGCAGCCGACCATTACGAATTGAAACCTAACTGCGCCATAGCCCGACCCATCCTCCACTGCCGTGCAGGTTATTGCTTTGAGTTGCGTTACGGTTTGTTTTGTGCTGGCAACAGGTTGTCCTGTTACACGTTGGAATGTTGCGCGAAGTCGCCCACTAGTAAATCCAATATGGTAGTCAATTACTACGACTTGACTGGAGGCCATTCAGGAGTTGCACAAGTACTAGCCAGTATTCCGCGCTACTACTTCGTTGTTTACGGAGCATCAGCTGTGAAACAAATTATAGGAAAGTGTCGGATATGAAGCGGACACTCAGCACCTACTGGAAGACAGGATGGTCTCATTGCACCTCAGGAACTGCTTCATACAATTTGGCAGGTGAATATTTACCTACAACAGTCACGATCTCCGAAATGTACCAGAATACGAACAAATACGGAAACGTACCATAAATGGATTTACCAAAGAATGAACGAAATCAACGTTGTTCTGAATTTGTACACCAATTGAGCATAGTAGCCACTAGAATGCTAAAAGTAGCGGGATAACCTGATCTAACCGACAGACGTGTGTACGAACTGAGACTGCAGATGAAAAATGTGTAACCAAACCCCATTAAAGTGAGCTCCAAGAAGAATTCTTTCTCGGTACGTATCACGTAGTGGTAATGTCCATAGGAAAACTCTGTTTGTATCAGTGTGGCTTTTTGCGGTAAATGCTGCAGTGTTCTGACGACAGTGTCGCGACTGAAGCTTTGTTGGTTCACTGTGGATAGGCAACAAAGTCCAGAAGACGAGTCGTTTGTTAGTTGCGCAGTCTACGTCCCGGTATGGTGACTGTATGTTTAAGGTGAGCGAAGCGAAATCTACGCAAGTTTGGTGTGGCTCAACCAGCTCCGCAACGAGAATTTCGCCCGGTCTGGATCCAGGCTTTCGTAAACAGTAACTGGCATGCCCGTAATCCATTTCCGTGACCAGGGTGACTTAGGATTAATACACGGAATAATAAAACTTTTAGATGCATTTTGTTACCCGTGTTATGGCAGGCCACTTTTCACAGCATGGTCCTTCTTTCCTCCAAAGGACCTCTGGAATTACGGGTGGGTTAGCCAACCTTAGAGCAGGCACTGATAAATCAGCCTAGCGTGTGCCCTTTCTTGCCTACACTGCGTGCGCGATAGGCGAACCGCACATGCGCGTGTTGCTAATTCCGCCACAGATCATGCGCTGTCTGATACGAGCTTCCACAATGGTTCAGGATGAGACCATGGTACCCATCGCCAGGCTGTTGAACGATGACATCACAACGAAAACGCTGGTGAACCGGTACTATCGATCTCTTCAGCTGTTAATTTACCTGTTCGTCCGCACTCGTACCCGAGTAAACTTGTTGTGCGCTCTGGACCACATTGGTCCACTGCGTATCACGCGATGCACTTCGGGGTCGAGTCTTCGGCCACACCAGGGAAGAGTAACAAGTGTGACGCTGTGCGCGCGTGCAGTCATATGGACGCTTGCTTTCATGTCGATTGGACGGTTTGACTTCAGAGAGAACGCGTCGACTTTCCTTCAGGCGTACATTGGTGCCAAACGAAATGTGCCGGTTGTTTTAAACAAGAGCACATTTTGTCTTGTTTAAAACTACCTGTAGGCTGGTAGCAGGCTTGCACATTCCGTGTACGATTGGCCCAGTTGGTCGGCCGCTTGTCCTTTGATCAGCCAATGAGAAATAATACGTGATTGGTCATGCTGCCAATCCGACGTAAGCAGGTTTCACTTCCACGCGAGCGAGATAGCATTTAGTTGAGTAGTAATAAGAAGCGGATTGGTTGATTGCGTTGGGGCTGCAATGCTTGCAGGCTGTTGAAAGAGGTTTGAAGGCTTAAAGGTGCCTTCCTTGCTCTCTCTCTGGCCACACGGGATACGGTATGCATATTGTAATCGAGCCAATGCAAATAATCTGCAAAATAAATACGTGTGCGATTTTGTTTAGGAAATGCGTGTGATTGTTAAGACAGTGTAAGGTAATCAGAAACAATGCAATACTTCCTAGTAGTAAAATTAGGACTTGACAACAAATGAACATTTTAAAGTTTTCACAGCTAAAAAGTTCCCGTGCTGTGTTGTTTCAGTTGGTCGAACTCTCCGGAGAATAGTGTAGCTGCGTACTGCTGATGTAGTCAGCGCATGGTTTACCAAGGTCAAGTTCGCTGCCTAGGTACGAGCATCATTGGATTCGTAGCCATTGTTCCAAATAGGAGGGTTCGTAATATGGCAATGTCACATCTTTAGTGTGTGTTCGTTAGCCCCCACATCTGTGGGCCACGTTGGTAATCAGGTATCGCTTCAGAACCCATGGATCTGCCCATATTTATAAGTCGTAAGGTGCATGTCAGTCCTGCGTTTCAGCATGATATTTACGCTTCACTTCCATGTTGTTGATAAGCTAGAAATACCAGGTGACCCTACGGATCTGATATGACCCACCAACAAGCACTGCATACGCATTGTAAGCATAGGTTTGGAGCAATTTTCTCCTTCAATAGTGCTTCCGGAATTACTCTTCAATCTCAAATGTGCCAGTAGTTCAAGTCGAGAACAACTTGTGTGTAGGCGTGCACACACGACTGGTTCTAAGACTGGCTGAAACAATGTCTCATAACAGAATTAGTGGGTTTGGTTGTCATTTGTTACTGATTGTAAACGCTGTATGAAGGCGCGTGTGTGAGACAACACTGTTGTTGTTCCAAGTGCTAACCCTAATTACCAGAGTAAATGCGTGCGCCGTCACTAATTATCGGCCTTCGCGTTCTTTTTTGCAGGGCTATGTGGCATTCATAATTACGGTAGTCTTTGTCGCTGCTTTAGTGTTTCTTTGTTGAGTAATGCCAATTCCATGAGGATAGCAATCTAGTCGATGGAATTAATCGGAAGGTTCCATCTGATTTGACTATGCTTGTAATGGTGCCATTTGGAGAGCCACTTGTCAGAGCGTCTCAAAAGCTATGCGCTACCCTATGGAAGTAAAGCCCAATTATCCTATAAATACGTTGGTTTCACATCCTTCCTATGACTTTTAAATACCGCCATACCAGTTGACACTGAAGCGATAACTGATCAACAAAGTCGCCTATGGGTGTGAAGACAAATGAACATTCACTAATGTCGTGTCACCGCCACACTTGTAATCAACTTAGTTTGTGTCTAGTCATCAACTGTGATAGAAGTAAGCACCCATAGAACAATTGTTGTTCAGCGTCAGGTTGTTCTACCTGCTTCAATGAGAACAATGTCCCCCAATGGTCGTCGCTATAACAATCGCACGACATTGTCCACCCGCCTAGCAGTCATTGCTGATCCGGCTTAGGGTGTGCAGTGTCCTAGCCACGGCGCATGCCTGACCAACCGCAAGTGCATACCTGCCTGACTCCCAGACCTACTGCAAATGAATCCATCGCAGCGATGGTTAGGCCGTTGAAATAAGCCACCACCAGGTAGAGGCTAGCGATCGATAAGTGTAGATTGCTGCATGTAGTGGGTAGTATTTCTGTCCGCACTGGTTACGGCGTAAGCTTCGGATTATATGGTAGCTAGGATCTCCTCCATAGACAGACATCACAAGTTGCCCATTGGATGGTTTCAGTTTGGAGGGAAATTATCGGGGTTTCCTTCAAACACGCATCAGACAGCACAGAAGATGGTGCTCAACCAGGTTCATTAAACCGTCTGCCACTTGTGCTCGGCGCCTACAACCAGTGTCCCATTGGCTAACGTCCCATGACTAATGAGAGTGTACAACACGCCAAAACAGCGTTCTTATCCTTGCAAACTTGAATGCACAGCATGCAATTTCGAAATCCGTGCCACGCTGAAAGCTTGGTAAAATGTGCTAACATGCCTGTAAAATGGTATAGAAGAAGTTGTGGCTCAAGTGCACTTTCCTGTAGATTGCAAGTTGAATTTGGAGTACCCGCTGTGTGGTTCGATTGCGACTCGCAATCTTTATTCAGACCTTGGTTAAATGTTAAGTAGACTTCCGTCATTACGATCACAAGTACCGTATCCGAATCGGTTTTTCGGTGTTGCTCATCCCAACGTTGACACTCCATAACCGGTTTCGTCCGCGTTTGGACTCTTCAGATGGAGATAGCCTGAGCTGGGTTGGACATCGTGACCTATTTTTCAAAGCTTGAGGCCTTGACCAATTTAGCTAGAAGATCTATGAGCAACGCTTGACACAGTGTTGATAAATTCCATGTGGCACTTTGTGTAACCGCTGTGTGGTTGGATTGCGACTCGCAATCTCTACTCAGACCTCGGTCCTCTCTGGACTAGACCTCGATCATTACACTCACAAGGACCGTATCCGAATTGGAGGTGGTTCGATGTTGCTGCTCCCTGGAATATACAGCTGGGCATTCCTTTTGTTGTAAAGCATGGCTCGCCCATTATGACCGCTTGCCTTTATTTGTGTAAATATGAGCCAAACCGACTCAGAAAAGAGTTCCCAGTAACACACATTGTAGTACCGATAGAAACAGGCTTATATCAAAAGTTTCATTAATTCTGACCAAACAAATGATCCTATGCTCACTCTTTTTAACGAAATGTTTGCTCAAATCTACTTCTAACCATTTTCCGGCTGAAAAAGTCAGCCACTGTGAAGAGAGAACAAACGAATTTGCTGAACGTTTTTCGGTTGATGAGCCATAGTTTTGGTAATTTGTAAATCTGGTTTCATGTACGCTTTTTTGCTGACAAGTATGCGAGAGATTTCATCGAATTTTTGGCGCAACCTTGGCAAGTTCGTTCATCACACTTCATTCGTGCATCAAACTCCGCATTCTATACTATACTCAAATATTTAAACAAGTAGTTTGGACCAAAGACAACCACGCATCAATGTGGCATTTTATGTTTTTTTGTTAATAATCTCATTTCTATGTCAAATATTTGTATCATCAATCCACCGTTTAATACTTTCAAACACATGATGGCATCCTACGTATGCCACTCTGCACGATACTGATTGTCACTTATGGGGCAACTTCTGCAGTCTAAATTAGATGAGCATCTATCATCGTTAAACTTAGTTTTTTAACCTGTGTTTTTAATGTTTCGTGATCGTGAGATTAAATTTGATTACCGGAAATCAGTTAGAACTGTAGTGCTTCTTTGCAGTCACTGACGTGTGGTGGATACCGATATGTTGCGTCAATGGTTTTGCGAGTGCTTTAAGCAAGGAGCGTCGGAAGTCCCCATCTGCTGACGAGTTATTTACATAACTTGCTACTAGCTTCAGAATTCATCGGAACTTTGTAAACCATGGCTAGGATATTAGGCCTCCACTCTCACGATGCTGCCAGGATAAGATAACGATTTTTACTACTATTTAATAACAACTTACACTGTGTTTATTATTAGTTATGCCATCCATTCTGCGACTTTCTCTTCCACAAAAGCACTAGCGCCGTATGTATTTGTGCTGCCGGGTGGTCGGGGGAATTTTGCAAATTGCCGTCGGAAAGCAGCCTCATCACAAGCATGATTCTTCCTGAGATGCCAGTAAACCCCTCGTTACAGACTGTCGGTACACCGACATTCAATCTGGAAGACGGATCCAACGGGGACATAATTCCTCCCAAATTGTTCCTCGAAACATCTTTACCTGTTGCAGAGTACGGTGAAACTGAATTTGCGAATGCGGGCGAATCTGACGGTGTATTTACATATGCGCCGATTGTATCACTTGGAAGAATGAACTTTTCTGAGATAGAGAACAGTAGTGATGCTTCCCAAAAGTCGAACGATTCCGTTATGGCAATCACAGCAGTCGCCTGTAAGTCCATTACCATTGTTACAATTACGAACGTTACCGTTCTCAGCGTTATTTCTGGACAGGCTAATAAAGCAAATCAGGGTAAATGGTTCCGCTAGGCAGAAGACGAAGTTTGTTTAACTAATAGAAATTCGTACGCACATTGTTAGCCAATATCTTCTTGATCTAATTTATCAAAATGTTAGCTCGAAATATGTGTAAGTTGCCCGGTGAATTCAACATTTATCACTAGTCATTGATATTATCTAGTTTTTTTGTTGGTCTAGTTTGTTGCAAACTTACTCAGCTGTTGTGCATATTGTTCGATAGAAGTTGGAGCCTTTACATTACATAAACTTCTCACAGTTCTAAACTTGCGGTCAGTCGGATGAAACATGCTATATCTGACATTTTCCAATTCAATTTTTAGTTGGCGTGACTGGTGCTCAGCGACCGTTCCGTTTGCTCGTGGTAAGTGTAACGTTTTAACTTTTCCAGGCATATAAGTTTTGCGTCGAATTTTCCACTGTAACTATTGAAGTTCTTAAGTCAGTTTACTCTCAGTCGAGTCAGCTGCACAACGCGGTGAGCAATGAAAACGAGCATGACAGTGTACTAAGTGACCAAGCAGTTGAACTGGTATCCTCCATGGTCTATCAGCCTTTCTCTATCCACCTGTAATTTCAAGTGCGAACATGTTAGATGTAAGCCTGAGGTGTACTTTTATCAGCATAGGATACAGATTGAGCTCTGTGATCCTGATGATCTTGTGTTGGTTGTGAGCAGTTTTGATAATGACAATGTACAGCAGGATCTTAATTTATTTCACACCAAAAATATATCCATTCTCGCCACACCTTGTATGCCAGTACTCTTTGGGTTTGTTTTGTCTTCAAATAAACTTGATATTTGAAATCATTCCGCTGGTAATAACCAATCGGGAAACAGTGAAAAATCCACAACTGGATCTAGCGTTGCCAGTTAAAGTGTTCTGATGGGAAATCACACAAATAATGCGGTCGCCAATAGGAAAACACACCAGGTAATGGTAGTTGATTACTTTGAGTGAGATACTGATTCTCTCTTGCAAAGTACACGTAAGTAATTGAAATTAGTCTGTTTCCTATGCAATTTGAGACAACTAGACGTCCGGATACGCGGTGATAGGTCGTTTTTCTTGTTGGAACTCTTTAACAACGAGCTACTCCCCCAACTCATACCGGATTCGAGTGTATTTCTATCCCACTACATGGTAGCTACCTAAAGTAGCGAGTCACATTTTACGGTGGCAAGCCATCAGGGCTAATTTCTAAGTGCAGTACAGCGCGGTTTTCTTACGGACACTAGGATTGTTCGAAATACATCAAGAATCAGTGGTATGAGGAACAATGCGCTAAACGGGTCGGTCTACACCTTGTTGCAGTACAACTGTTTTGTTGCAGACTTATGTTCTGAAAATTTAGATATTTTCTTTAGTTCAACGCAATTAGGTTAGAATCCGAAAAGGTGAGCTACCAAATAGCAAAGCACCAGATGACTGAGGATGCGCACGCCTGATGAACCTTAATGATTACTGGTTGGAAGCAGGAAGAAGAGATATCTCTGTATAGCTGCATCTTATATCACTCAGCGACAAAGACCCGTTATGTTGGGTTATGCCCGATGTATTTTATATCGGAAAAGTGTTTGTCCAGGAATTTCTTAAATTCCGACACCGACTTTGCTTCAACTACGTGCTGCGGCAGGTCATTCCATACTTTCACCACTCTGCGTTCGAAACAGAGTTGGTGAGCGACCCGCTTCAAATCCCGTACGACAAGTTTGTACCGGTGTCGTCATATGCTGCTTGGTGTGCGTAGATGGAACTGCGACCTCAACATGGGTAACCGCCCAGATGTACTATTCGGTGTATCATGATGAGGTAAACCCGCGGTCGACGATAAGCTAGGGTGTATAGCCCTGGTTTCTTACACCGGTCTTGGTACGGCACACCTCGTAAGTTGGGAATCAGCCTGGTAGCTACATGCTGCACTCGCTCAATCTTTTCTACCTCGCCCCGAGTGATAGGACAATACACGAGAGAGCCATTCCCTAGCATTGGTCGTATTATTGAGACGAAGTGGAGAGTGGCAATCTCTTCGGACCAAGTGTTGAAGCTGCGCCTGAGCGCCCAAAGCATTCGAACGCTGTTTTGTTAAAGTGTATTCGTGTTGTCCATGGACTTTACCTCGTAGCGTGAGAGTACCCCGAGGTCTCGCACGAAAGGCGCGGAATGCAACAGTTGAGCTGTCACCGTGTAGGTTCCGCTGTGCTCACACTTACCCAGTATCATGAATTGCGACTTGACCGAGTTGCTCAGAAGGTTGACGGCTGCAGACCAGGTGGAGAGGCGGTCGAGGTCCTAATGAAACAGGTCACGGGCATTGGGTGTGCCGATTACTTTCCACACATTCAAGTCATCTTCGAACAACTCCCAAGGTAATTGAAGTAGCTGAGACACATTGTTTACATGGATCAGAAACAACATCGGTCCCAGTACAGTGCTTTGGGGCACACCACTGCTCGATGGATACTAGTCCGTTGCATGATGTTTTTCCGAAATGGCAGCTGCCATTCATCGATTGGAATCCAATTGCACTGAACTAAATAAAATCACACCCCAATCCGTCTACTAATTAATAAATAAAATATTTGTCGAAGCTAGGGCCCACGCATATACTTTATCTCCATGTCTATTCCTCTGTGAGCCCATAACACAATAAATGCTCTTTCACGAACATCTGGTATGGATTTCTACCTGTCAGGTAGTTACATCAGTCGCGGTAACAGCCTGGATAATCCTTATGATCGTGATTGGTGTCCTGTGCCACCGGCGACGAGGTAAAAAGTTTGGATCCAGCCACCCTGGGTGAGCGACCTAGTTCGAAAATGTTCTCTTTCATTAACGTGCTTGGTTCTATTACTGTTGCTAACATTTTCAGTGTGTGCTCCATGTAGCCATTCTTCAACATTTCTCTCTACATTTCATTGTCATTAGCCTTTAATGATTTTGACTATTGTTCCTTCCTAGATATAGAGAAGCTGAAATTAGATTTGGGAATCTCAAGCAAGATTGGTGTTCTTAACATATGTTCATTGGAGCCTCACTTCACGAGTTTGCTGTTTACCAAACTCTAGTCAACGGTCTTCGACAGTCGCTTTGACAACAAGATAATCAAAAGAAGTGGTCAGTGAGATGACGTCGTCGTTTCGTACATCCGTATCAATCACAAAAATGCATCATTAATGGATAAACCAAAACGATGACCTGCAGTAGCCTAAAGGGAACTCGCTTCAAGTGTTTTCATTAACAACAGCCGACAATTAAACTACCTAGAAGAGCACCACATGTTGTGTTAGGCGCTCTATTTCTTAACACATCTCAGGGTTCAGTCTCTTGATGGCTATGATTGATGATTCTTATGATCCATCTATTAACTTCATATTAACAACGCTGTAACACAAATCCGCACCGAAGTGCAGAACGGCTATTTCAAATCGTCCTATAATTATAACTAAGTTCCGCTTGCCTTTTACATAGCAGACATATATCTCCAGACGGTTATGCGAAACAAACATCAACTGGACGCACACATGCCTGCTGTCACCGTCAGTTAACACGATAAGCAGTCGGCTGGCTGAATAGGTAGTTAACTTTTGGGAGGGCAGTGTCAGACACATACACCTAATATCGATCCAACATGTGACTTTCAAATGTACCACGCGGTGCATGGCTGAAGTCCGCGTGTATCGCATGCATGTAGGTCAGGTGGACAAATGGTATAGGTGCAGTTTACATGACCGTCAGTCAACATACACACTTGAACCCACAGCCATGCTGTTCTGACATGTTGGACAGTGCGCGCTTGTGTTTTGGTTGTAAAACAAACCACGCTTCGGACGAATACGCGTGGAATTTTAGTCCACCAGGTGGTCATGGACATAGGCATCGTTTGTAGCTTGTTTAGCAGGTCATGCAATATCGCTGTGTTTGCATTACGGTACTCACCCTTGGATGTACTTTGCAGTTAACCTGTCATTCTGAGAAGTTGGGCAGCCATCAAATTGGGGGCGTCTTCAACGTTAATGTTTCTAACAACGGCGCTCCGTGACCAATTCCGTTTCTTTAGATTTTTCAAATAGTGGTGGATGAAGTTAGAAGCGGAATCTGGCACAATGTAGTTGGAAGTTACCCCTGTGACCAATAGGCAAATAATTTTGACCGGCCAGACTGATATCGGGGACCCCCATATAGCACACTCCGGGTATTCTAAAAATTAACAAGTCATGTATATCACTGTGCTTCGCTTTGTTTATGGAGCTCGATGACATGGCAATTTATACTTCAGCCGAATTCCGATAATCCACACTTAAGTAGTAAAAGAATGAGGCTGGTCGTAAAGTACAGTGTTTGGATGAGCAGCGCTAAACGGGTGGCCAGCATCAAGTCCTAGTGCGTCGCATATATTCCACAGTGCTTTGAGCTGAGTGTCACCTGCAGTAGGTCCGTGACCTTGTAGTGATCCCCAAGGTAATGAGATCGTTATACCTCGGCTAGACAGCCACTGATGCCTCGTCTCTTTTTACCCTCAAGTATCCTTTAGTGTGGTCTCTTACTAGGTGGTTGTGCAGCCACCCACTGTACATTGCAGCTCTCCAGGTCTAGTACGACCAAGGTGCACATCGGACACGAAAGTCCCCGAAATCCTCGACTGGATGCATACTACATATTTGGCGACGCTGCCAGTTCCCAACAGCAGTCCCAGAAGCTGGATCGTTGCCCTTTGAGGCGAGCACTAATTTCCCTGTGACCATACAGCTTGTCGCGGAATCTGAAACTTAGCGCATCGCGCTCATCAGTTGTTTCCTACATTAGCATTTCGTCCCCCAGACGCATATTACATATTCTGTGATCATGTCTGCACCCGACAGCAGTCTCTGAAACTGGACCGTGGCCGTTTAGGCCTTTCTGTCATCACATTGCCAGTCGCGTAATCACGGATACCCAGCATACTGCGGTCATCAGTTGCTCGTATTATCAGCAGATCCAGATCGACTAGGGATTCTGTAGGCACTGAAGACAGCGCCTGTCAACAGGCGGGATAATGTAGTAGGCCCGAGCGTGATCTTGCAGTGAGGCTTAAGGTTAAGATATTGTTGTACCTCGGCTAGACGACCACTAATTTTTCCTCTTCACTTTACCTTCATGTTTCATTGACTGTGGTTCATTACTAATTGGTTGTGACATAAGCATCCAGCTACCCACGAGATATTTGCTTTACATTGCAGTTCCTCATGTCCATTACAACCTATATACGAGGTGGGCACGAAAGGCTTCGGAATCATTGACTGGACACATACCACATCATCTAACAACGCTGAATGTCTCACCGGTTCTGTAACAGCGCGAGACACCCACCAGTAGTTGTCACAGAACTCCGTTCTTCACGGACAAACTATTTATTTAGCAGAATGATTTCGGCAAAAGCAACAGTATAACTTACTTGTGGAAACCTCGATGTATATAACTTGACAGCTTGCATAACTATCGACCCTATTATGTTCCTTTGCTTCGGTCAAACCAAAACTTCAACGTAGAAGCGGAGACGCGTCAAAGCCTAATCATGTGCTCCGTTTGTTTGTAGTAATCTAGCTACATATATCATCACCTAAATCCGTCTCGTTCCCCTGATTACATACATAAACAACAGATGCTAAATCTGTCATACTTCATGGGAATTACTTGTGTTCTAAATCCGTGGATGGTGTGCACTATCCGTTTTGTATGCTAACATGGAAGGTAAAGGGGCCTTTTCACTGTGGCGGCGATTGTCGCAGAACACAGCCCTTCAGGGACAAACCGTTTATTCAGCATAGCAAGCTCAATGAAAATGAAAACCCAACTAGCCTGCAGAAGGCTCGATGTATAAAACTGGGACGCTTCCATAACTAACGACCCTAAAGTATTCATGATATTCCTCCTTTGACTTTGGTTGAAGAAACACCCCCTGCGGCAAAATATCACGCAATCAGCGTATTCATGTATATGCGTCACTGTCCAATCAACAGCTCCGTTCGTTTGTGGCAATCTATCGGTTTATTATGCCAAGCAAATCCGTCTCTTCTCTCCCATTGCATAGTGCAATCACACTGGTTAAATGCGTTTTAAATGCAAATTGAAGTGAAGCGCATTACATTTGTTTACAATAGTCGCCTCGGTGTTCATCAGCTTGGGCATTTTGGTTGAAAGCGTTTCATCAGCAATCAAGGTGTCACGGCAGTGTGCAAATGTTGAGGGGTTTCGTAACAGAAACCGATGAAGCTAAATCTAGGTATTGTGTGCTTTTGGGAATTTCTTCTTTCATTGCTACTTAGGTCCTCAAGGGTGTCATACTGACCAACAGCCATTCCATACTTAGTTGCCCTGAACCGAACCAAATTAACCTGTTGCTCGGATAGACGGATGATGAAATTTGCATATAACGATTTTATCTGTTTTCTTCTTGTATGCGTACTTCCTAACTTCTTTTTGTATTTGCTGTGTAATCTCGTTTTGCTCCTCAGGCCCGGTGAAGTGCAGTTGGTCAGATTTCAGCCATCCAATGGACATTGATTTTTCATTTGTTTTCAGCACCAATCTGCGCTTTTTGTGTGCCGGACATATTTGCTTTCCCCACAGCCCTGTGACCTCACTTTTCCTTCAGATTGGACAACAAGATCTATAAATATTATCCTAATGTTCGCTTATAATTTTTATTTGCCACCTCAGATGCGACAGCAATGACATTGAGTTAGATATCTATAAGTGAAAATAAATAACTTTGCAGGACTCCACTGTACTAGTTGGTCAACAAGACCATTCATCTATCTTTGGTATTGAAAAGCGCTATCATTTTATGATTGGAAACAACTGAATGATAAAACGATTTAACGTAGGTTACATCTTTGTACCTCCGTTGCATTTGTGGCCAGATCTACCACTGCAGCGGTATTTAGTCGTCATCGGGGTAAAGGACAAAAGGCTGTTCGTAACCTTTTGGAATTACTGAGCTTTGGGTCCGAAATAATCCTGGTTATGTGTAAGTAAACTAGAGAGTTCTTAAGGCATGGATTACAAGTTTCCTGAGGATAGTGGAAGGTAAAATCTGTAAAATTTCACATTGCTGGGTTTGATAAGTACACAACTTCATTGTATTTTCAGGTGCTTTTGAATATGGAGATTGTAGCAGGTGAAATACCGGAAACACGAAAAGCATCCTACAGAGGAGAAGCTAAAAGTCCGCAAAACCCGGATGACACACATTTGCTTCATTGAGGGATTAACTTTAGTTACTTACTGCTCATGTTTTATTATTATGGCTTGTGCGTGAGTAGGTCGAAATTCGATCCATGGACAGTGAGTCAAATCTAGTTGCAGGTTGTTGAGCGCAACAAGGTCCCACTTCGATTACCATTGCCATGCGTTGATCACTATCTAGCACACTAGCTTAACGTATGTTTATACATTCACAGGATGTTTGAGATTCCAAAATGACTAAACTTCTTATTCTGGATATGGGTATCCTGCTCTAAATGTTTTAAAATTCCGGAGAGCCTCCAGGGAGTGGTATGCTCCTGAAAAGATGTTTAATGATGAGCTTCTGAAGGACGTCCGGTAATGTGTGGCGTGCCAACCAATGGCTCACACATTAATATGCATGCAAACAAAACAAATTGAAACCGGCTTTTCGTTTACAACTCAGCAGAAGAAGATAATCCAGAAGAAGAAGACTGGGAAAAAGGGTGGGTTTGCTTCCTGTCAAATACTCATCATGGGTTTTAGCAGCTATTTATCAATGAAGACAGCCCTGTGCACATGGGTGGCAACTGCTTGTAATTGGACAAATGGAAGCGACATACCAGCGCCCTAGTAGATATTTCTTTCTATGTAAAGCTGTTGATCTTTGGCCCGTTTGGTCATTATAGAGGTACCCTGGAGGGAAACTGGATTTTGACTCACTGATGATGATTTCCATAGTTGTTTTGCATGAGAGCTACTGATGAAACAATAGTGAAGTGACGTTCAGTCGCGTTGATTATTGAAATTAATAAAAATTCCCTTCTCACCTAGCCACTGCTTTGCTTGCAATCAATCGTTGACGGATGTTTGCACCTAGTGGCATCACTGGAAAGCTGCAACTCTTTGTCATGGTATACGGATGATTTTCAGTACAGTGATTATTGCTTGATAATTTTTGCTTGCCGTCGATTATTTGCTTTAGGGTCGTTTATCAATCTTCAGTAGGCTGCGGAAGTACAGTCGATCCAAGGTAATTCCCTATGTATCCCCAGATCAACCGAAACAACCACACGATCATTCGGAAAACGGGTTCATTTGTAGGCTGTGTTAATAATACAGACATTATTGCACTGTAGCATTACTTCATTGAAACAATTGAAGGTTACTGTTTGGAACTCACTATTTTGAAATATCCAGTAAGATTTGGTTGTCCAGCTTGCCTGCTTGGTATATAAAATTTTGCGGTAAGTTCGTATTCAATGATTCATTATTGGACAAATAACAGATTCAAAATAACAGTTTACTTTTTGTGAACAGCATACTACTGATAGCAGCACCCGCTATCATCCTGCCGATACGGTAAGCGTCAATAAACCACGAAATTTCTCCCAAAGTTATGGCTGTGTTATACTGCACACAATCCAGTTATGGCCATTTGTGGGCAAATGATGGACATGGTTAGAAAAGAAAGTAGGTAAAAGGTTCACCTTACAGAACTTGCCTCACGTAGGGCAGCAATATTCGGCGTCCGATAAGTCAATTGAAATAATGTGATGAAGGTTTAACATGTTGCAAGGAGATATGTGGTGTACTACCTTTGCTCCTATGATCTTAAAAGTGCAAAAAGCCGTACCACGTTGACAACTTCAAATGGACGAAACACGTGTTATCGGAGTTTAACTCTGCAGTGGGCAGAATTCACAAAACCATGGAGACGCTGGGAAATATAAATGTTCCATTGGTTAGACCTGCGGTTGCAGCTTATGCATTAGTACTTACTTAGTACCTAGGGTAGTTTGGCGCATTCTAATTTCCTGACCTCCGGTCCCTTTCACTCTTACACACAATCCATCCGGACCACATAGATGGCATCCGTAAGTGGTCGTTGCTGAACGCGCACCCCTTATCTTTCTCATTCACGAACTTTATATAAATGACAAGCTTATGTTTTATAAGAAATGCCTGCTTCGCAAGATTGCATATAATTGCATCATCTAAACATATTTTCGGTGCAAATTTCTTAACTAGCGGACTAGATCGCATATAAATGATCCTGTTATCAGGATGATGAACTGAGTGATTCAGATCAAGCTGACTTTTGACTACTTTTGTAAACATTTATAACATAATGGTACTAGCTAACCAACTTGCCCTTAGTCTCTAATAACTTTTACCGCCATAGTAAATATTTGGAAACCATTTAATCGGTTCCATGATTTTTAGCTTTTAGAAGAAATTCTCGTATTGGGAAATCCTACATCAACTTTCAGATAATAAAGAAGTTATCAAAATTACCAGCAACTGGTGTTATTCCACTCCGCAGCTGAAGTAAAAGAGACACGTCAATAAAGTGGCTGAAATGGACAGATGATGTGACTCCTGCAACCATTGCTCTTTAACTAGTTTAAATGTGCATAAAAACTAGGTGGCATTCTTGTCGTTCTTTCACAGCACAATACTCAATTATACGATCTGGAAGGCGTCGGCTTACTGTGAATTTTTCACCCTATAGAAATTGGTGAAGTAACAAGTAATTATAAAGTTTTCCGTTGCGTTGACTTAGTTTAATGGAGGATGTGTAACGGAATGCATATGATGACCAGTCACAGCCATTGCTTAAACAGAGAAACTTTAAGCAATTCCTAGCATCAAGAAATTCTGTTAATACACAAGTCTGTGTCAAATTGTTGTGTATCTTGCAAGGTGTAATTTGGTGGACAATTAATTCAAGTTTTTCCTCGTTGTAGATGTATGTCAGCATATGCTTTGGTGAAAAATACTGCACTGGATTTTAAAGTGGAATTACAATTTAGCATGTTGTACACCCGTTCTTCGTTTGCGCCAATACTAATATTTTCACAAAGAACTTTACAAACAAGTACTATAACTTAACCTCACCGATTGTCCAACCATGTTTATTGGCTATCTTAGACATAAACGTGATGGATGAGTTTGGATTTGAGTAACACAGCGATCATTTGCTCGATTTATGATGTTGCTAGGTACATATCCCTCTGAATCTGCTACATATTTACCGTCCTGCGTGAAAACTCACACATTTAATGAGTACCAGTTCTCCATACTAGGTTCATGTGGACAAACACCAACTATGGGGTCACACCTGGATCTTTACGCAAACCCTACGGGCCAACATATTCGAAAGCCATTCATGAGTACGAGAACACGATAGGCAGTTACAGTCACGGGACACGAACGTCATCAACAATGTCGAGTTCACTCAGCAACACTTCACGCAATACTTTGCCAAAAACACCGTGTGCCGGGTACCCACCTCCACCTGTGGTAACTGGGTCAAAAATCAGATTTGCCGCGACAAGGGTGTCAACTTCTCCTTTTGGTTACGACTCCTGCACTCGTCACACAAAGGGGAGACAAGATTGGCCAGTAACTGATGATCAGTACGAGGAGTTGAGTAGCGACATTGGGGATTACTCGATATGGGAACAAGACGTATCCTCCAAGACACCACTGACCAGTTTTCAGGGTAACAAAGCTACCAAGTAGTAGGCAAAAGTTCTTCTGCTGCATTGGACCGAATGTTTCCGATATCACATATTCGGTTGTGTCTTGGAATTTGTGTACATCTTACATATACTGTATGACTCACAGACGCAAATTCACCCACATTCTTCTAGCTCTTTTAAGCGCCGTAGCTTCATTGGCACATTCTATCATATCGATTGCTGTAACTGAGCTTTGTTTACCATATATTTGCTGTTGGCATTATTCGTTGCACAGATTTCCATTCGTCATACATCGATTGCACTATATATATATATGCACATGCTAAATGGTTTCATAATTTCATTTTTATAGTGGAAGCAAATTTTGAGAGCATCGTGCAACCAACTACGCCACTCTTTCATTGTTTGCCGTCCATGTGCTGACTAAAATCAACTAGCAGTTGTGACTTACATACTGAGTATCTCTCAGTTCTGATGGCTGCAAGTCGAAAGTGCTACTTACAGCGCCAACTTGTGTCCAGCTAGTTCACAGCCTGTTTATGTTGCAGACAGCTGATCGATCAATCGCGCAACTCAAGACATTATGGCACAGGGTACGCAAATGTCCGCAACGGGATCGTGTTTGCTACCGTCCGCTAGTGGAAATGACTGTTTACTTGAGTACAATGCTGAATTATTTTTGGCGGAACCTTTAAATCGACCGTCGCCTTTTCAATGGTACATCGTTTTTGCTTTATCTTCCTCAGATACTAGAGTTTTCGCCAAATATTTTTGACACTTTTCTTCGGTTACACTACTTCAAAGTAACTAACGCTGGGCTGCGTTGAAATTTTGAGAAAGAGCTAAGTTACCGTGCGTGCTACGCGAAGTTATCATAAGAAGCTTTCGTTATTTTAAAAATGATCATCCGGTCGACATACTTGGTTCTGATACTGTACCTTTGGTATAAACGAATACTAATTATCCACTTCATCAAATTAGCTTATTCACTTCGTATTTGGAACCGATTCCCCGGGTGACACCTGTGCCATTATTTCCATCTATACAATTTACACTTTTAGCGTTGTTAGTTTGGTTCAACCGCGGTAGCTATTGTAAAATCTTGAAATTGCATCCACTAGGATAGTTAAAGCCTTCATTGACTTGACTGGATCTGTGTTTAGTTGACTGAGACGGAAACACTGAAAGCCCAAAAAGAATCCATCATGTTGATGCCACTTTGTCTATAAACAATCATTAGACATTTTTAATGACTATACTCGAAATCATCAGATTCGTAGACTCTGTGTGATAACTCAGTAACTGTGGACGCAACACTAAGACATACTACCTTCTATCACACCGTTATCATTATGTTCCACTTATTGCTGTCTGATTCTATTGTAACAGCGCTGCAGTCTGCAATGCTGATGAAGTACTTTAGATGGTGATACCGATCGTGGCAATTGCATGTCCAGTGGCTATCAAAATATGTGCCAGTCTGAACAGATGGTATTACGCTTGAAAGCGTTAGAAAAATCAGGAATTCAGAAGGATTTGAAAACAAACGGTACTTATGGTTGGTGCCCAGAGTTGTGCTTTTTACACAAAGCTTCCATACAGGTTAGACGGCCAACTGCGTCTACAACACTGGCCAAAGGGACCATGCACACATGTACATAGGCTAAATTGCTACGGCGCTGCCCAATGGGTTAACATAACACGATGCACTTGTCATGGTTATCGAGAGACGAATGTGAACCTAGGGCTACGCCAAGAGATTTGACAATAGCAATGCACGCACTAGATAAAACTCATGAGATCAACTTGGATAATTTTGAGCGCGTTAAGTGTTGATTACGATCAACACGCAAAAGCGGATTGCTGAGAAGTTGGAATTTGCCAAAGCTAAAGACTCCGTAAACAGAATGCCTGGGATTATGTTATCAAATGTGTGGCGGCTAGTCTGTTGAGCGTCGGCCAACGGATCTGAAGTAGGGATCGAAAACGGGACCACCACTACCTCTATCCATACGAGGGAGTTACTTGTTATTACATCATACAATAAACCATTTGCGATTTATCTATCTCTAATTTGCCACCAAAAATGAAATTTTGATATGCAATGTGATTACCCTCTTACTTCGATTTCACTCATCTAGATTATCACCCTACTCTGCCCTAATTACCACATAAATGACCCCCTAGTTCAGTTGGCTGACGAAGTGCTTATGTAAAAAGCGAAACACTGCCCTCCAGCTAAATCAACCGGTTGTCTTTTAAACCGTTCCGAAACAATGGTTTGACTACTATGCCCTTTTTAATTGGATGTGGATTTAATGCAATTAGAATGCTAAAGTCGTTACGGACCTAGTGGATGGATGGTGCCTCGTACTTTGTTACATTAGTAGAGGATTCCGAGATAGTATACCGTAGTTCCGAGTGGTTAATTATCAATGGGGAATTTTGATGGGCTATAAAATAGTAGTTGCGTTCCGCTGCCAACCAGGCACCTACACATCTGAAGAAAGCACTGAACTGCAGCTCGGTCCCGTTGGGAGGTTTTAAGAAGACGCATCCCCCTACCGCAACAGAAACATATCCCATGATCACTGCCAGCGACTATTACGATTAAGCCATAAGGGACAATGTCATACCGTTATGTCAGCTAACCGTAATATAGCGCGACTCATCCACCGCAACTATACAGCCTAGGAACATTGCAAAGGACCTAGCTACTCCATAGATATACGGCTTGTCGTGCAGTAGCTATGTCTGTACTGACACCTTGGAGCTATCGAGGTAGGTTTGCTTGCAGACAGGGTAATCATGTAAACTGGAATTAGAAAAGGGTCCTTGGTCAAAGCAGTAAGCTAAACTTTCATTAGTTCTTACTAAGGTGAAATCAATTAGGACCACTTCGGCTCCGTATAGATAGCGTTTGCTTAATACAGTAGTCTACCTGCCGGTCAACCCTTCTTATTTGAAATTCATGAGATTGAGGAATGGTGGTGAAGGTCAAAAGTAAGTCCTCGGCGCTCAATCTCTATAACCCACAACTTTCAAGCAGAACGGGCATAGTTTCACGTTGTGATATGATGTCCATGGACGAGTGAAACATGATAATTCAAAGCCGCTTGCCTATTCTTTGGCTACGCAAACCTAGCCTCCATATGCGTTTTAAAATGGTCTCTACTCGCCTCTTCTTCTCCGTCATATGACAATTATTAAAGTCTGTTCTCTTGCCTGCTGTCACATCACGAGAGCACAAACACAAAAGATTGCAGCGGTTAAGCTCGTTAACATCAGGATTTTCACTGGTTTATGAGGTATATTGTGCGAAAATCAGTGCCAGATACCAGGAGTTTACACGTTGTTCCACCGCCGATTTTCAAGCAATTCTACCGTGAAATATATTTTTCTCAACAACGTCCTGCTGAGGCCGCCACTCCGCTAACGAACCTTCTGTAATGCACACTGATATCGTTGTACTCTAGCGGCTAGAGACCTGAAGCAAGTCGTCGACTTCCTTTGCACTCGACGGGAAGTGCTCAATTTTCTAGAACAGTATACCAGAGTATGTCGTGGAGGCCAAATCTGTGCAACAGCCAAAATCATTGCTGGATTAGTATTACGAAACCGTTATTTTTAATAACGCTTAACTATAGACAATAACATCTCATATTTTTGAGTCCTGCATTACAGTGCGTTAGATGTTTACACCAGTTAAACGTGAACTTGAAGGGCAACTAGAGTGTTTAAAGATCATACAATATTCAAAGTTTTAGACCAGATTTCGTTCGGGTTATAAAGCTTTACCTTGTTGTTTATCCAATAGTTGGGTATTTAGCATTCCTTATATTTCTAGGTGGCTTTGGCTGCAGTATAGAATAAATCAGTTAAGATGGCTAAATCATTTGGATAATTTCGTTGGCTAAACTTAAGTTTGGGTTCGAGAGTTTTGAGCGTATATTTATTGAAACATTTACCGCACATGGTCTATAATCTCGGTGTTATGGCATGTGCCAGACCACATGTTGAATGAATTTTGCTACGATCGGTACAAGCAAACATGGAACTCAGACGTGCGAGAGTTGAGATGCCTTATTCTAATTTCCAGTTGAAACAAAACCTTACACGATGTTTATGGAAACACTAATGATGATACATTACAAAGCCTTCAAAGCAGTCCTTTGGTTACGACGCCTCGTGCACTAGGTCAATATTTTTGGCATTGAGAAAAGTATGATTTCATTCGGAGACAGGTATGGATCCCGTGTTAAGTTATTGAGTAGGAATATCTTTATGTCTATCACATACTATATTTAATTGAAAACTTGGTTTAGTAAAACCGAGTGGTCATCTAGCAAATAGTATTATGTTCCAGGAAATCATCTGCTAGCGAATAGGCAGTTGATTGGAGGTCCGGCATGACTAAACTACAAATGCATGACCGCTTCCAAGGAATTGTCTAGCATAGAATATTCCATGGGAATTGGTTCGTCAGCATGTTTGTTTGTCAAATTTGCGTAATACTTATTACCTCAAAAGGCGTTGTTACATAAAGAATCAAAATTATGTGGTGAATATCAGTGTTCGCTCTGCTAGGTTTTGCTACATTTGGTTAAAGTGCTTTTGGTTTTGCACCGCACGTTTTCAAATCAATCACTTTCTCTCTGTTGACTTTTAGCAAACTTTGAGAACAAGGACAACTCACTTTGACTGCGACCCACGTTTCAATGAAAGTTAGCTTTGGCATCCTTGCATTTTCTTCGATAATTTCCGAGTGAACTACTCAGGCATGCACTGGCTTGGTAATGATGCTGCTGGTCGCAAAAGTTAAAAAGAGTACGTAGTACAACCACACAAACCTCTGTTTCCACTAAAACAACTGACATGTATGGCGCACTTATCAGTTTCTATGCTCTTTGAAAATAGTTTTAAATTACAGGTTATCAAGCCACAGATTTGTGTGTATACAAAGCTTAAGTTGGAGACAACTGTGTTCCTTCTACACAGGACTGAGGGAATCGAACAGGGTCGAAATGTCAAAAGTATGTGGCTCAGCTTCAACGAATAGTACAGATCAGGATGACTAAACGAATGTCTGTTATTCTGGGGCTAACTTAAAATTGCTGAAGTTATGCGTGGTTTTCCAACCGAATGAAGGAATTGTGGAATATGCCAGGAAGCCTGACCTTCCGCAGTCAAGAGTAACGACTTCCTGACTTCCTCTGAGGTCGGTTCAGCGCATTATGTTGCTGGGCGGATAGTATTATTAGTAATTCATGTGCACAACACAGGGTGTATCGAGCGTCTTTTACATAAAGGGAACAAATCAGCAATC